TTGTGACAGCTAAAAGAGAAAGATTAGAGTTGAAATATTTAGTTTGGATTTTTTGTTTTTTAACTATGTAATTTCTTTATATTAAAAATACATTTTCCCTCATACAATACATCTTGACCACAGTTTTCCCTCCATCCAAAATATTTGTAAACAGAATTAACATAAATATTAAATTGTTCATTACAAGTTATGTCTCATGTTTAGTTAAAACTCATGGGAGATACCAAGAAAATGACAAACTTGAGCTCATATTTTGGATGAGAGTAGGTGTACCCACGGTAGGTATTTACTCAGACCTGGCATGGAAATAGTTTCATAAATATGTGTTCATAGTGTGCATTAGTAGACACTTTGCCACTGATCTGCATCATCGACCCACTACATCTTAACTAAACACACTTAATGCTTTCTTCTTGGCCAGAGCCTCCTAGTCCTTCTGGTAGCACCACACTATGTCACTTTAATGAAAGGGTGATGATAGAAAGCCAGAACAAATGTAGTCATTATCAGACATTTTCATGTCACACATTTTCTACAATCCCCTTCACATATGTTTCACTTAAATTGCAACACCATGGGTTTTTTCTTGGCTTCTTCATGCACAGTTAGTTTTGGTTTACCCTTCCTTACTTCTCATTTCTTCCCTAACACATCCTTGAATGGTCTGTCCCCAGTATATCTTTTATTAAACATGTGTTACATAGTTCCCCCTCTAAATATTCCTTTCCACCAGTGATGTCTTTGCAATTTCTTGGATCCCATCCACATTGCAGAAATACATGAAAAATATTTGAAGCTAGGATCCTCATGTGATAACTGCCTTTCTGGGTCTGTGTTACCAAGCTCAACATAGCTTATTCAGATCCATCAATGCCCTAAAAGTTTGATGATTTTTCCAAACCAGATTCCCCGAATGGAAATCAGTAGTTGGAGTCACTGTGTTATTTAAAAAGCAAGCAAGAATAAGGAAGGTATATATACCTTGCCAGGGGCAAGGAAGGTGGAGGACATGATTGAAAAAAATATAATAGAAATGCATGTCTACATCTATGAACATATCAAAAAATTGGAAAACAAGATATGAAAAACAGCAAAATTCAAATCAAACAACATCTTGCTTTTGGAGAAACCAATAAAATACATGTTTGCAAATATCCCTTCAGGGGCTTCAGATGACATCACACAAATTTTCTTCCTTACTAAATTTTGGTAAATCTACTTCTATCATATTGCTTTATAATGCAATAAATCTACCATCCTCTATAATTATTAAATTGTCCTTTAAATAAAGGAACAAGAAACATGATCTTGATAAATGTCCTCATTTAGAGGATCCACAAATTAATCTCCCTGCACATTCTCAAACCAATTTGTTAATTAACGTTAATTTTCATCTGTTAATAATGTGATTTGAGGCAGAGGACATCCCAGAAATGCATATTATATACTTATTAGTTTGGCATTTTTATTGCTTAGACTTGCCTATCATCACAAGTACAAAATTAATCACATTTCAGTAGGGCAAGCGACTCCTACACAACAAGCACCATAAACAAAATAAATCTTCTACATAAATTAATATATAACTAATAAAATATTCCACAGACTCATATTCACTGGACGGCATCAAGAAGCTGCAAGAGGAAGGCGTCTATGCTGACATTTATTTACCTTAATAAGAAAATGACTGATGAGGAAGCATAAGTATGACTTGAAAAGCTTACAATTACACACATTCTGTTGTAACAGATGCAGCAGGACTACCAGGCGTCTGAGCTGAAAGAGTTGCTGTGGCACTTGAGCAAAGCAGTTATCCAGGGTTCTTGGCAGGGTAGTCATTATTGGTACTTTAACTGAGTTGTCTTCCAAGGCAGCAGAAGAAAGGCATGTTGGAAATGGGTATTCTGTTACTTATCTTCAAAGAAGAACAGTGTTCTTTCTTTTAAGTCTGTTGTTGTTTATGTGTAGGATAGATCTTTCTTTTCATTTTTAAGAAAGGATCACTGCTTCCAAAAATACAATGGGCCTTATTTTCAGAGGCAGTTTAAATTTTAGTTTATATTCTATTTTATTTTTCTTTAAAAACAAAATAGAATTGGGATCAAGTTTATTATACATGTATTGTGATTTACTGAATTAAAGTAATACGGTCTTAAGTCATCTCCTTTATTTCATATGTCCTTTCAAAAACAGGTGTCTTCTACCTATTCTTAGCTATTATCTGTATTGGTAGAGGATACCCAGGATAATAGTATGCAGTAGCAGACCAGATGCTACTGGGTTTAGTCCTTTCCCTCTCTCTTTCTAAAAATCACTGGATTATTTTCCTAATGCTAGCACCCAAGGACCAGTCCCTTATTTGGCCACAGTTTCATTCACACACCAAGGTCCAATAATCAAAATTCATTATTTGGCTAACATATCCAATCAGGACTTCCTAACTCACCCTAGCACAGACTCCCCATTTATCCCCTTAAAAGACCCACTACTGAAAAACAAACAAACAAACAAAACAAAAAAAAATAAAAGCAACAACAACAACAACAAACAAAAACGCTGTGATTCTATTTCTCCTTGTGTATCTTCAATGTCTGCCTTATATGACATCTTGGAGCCTTCACCCAGTAGCTGATGGAAGCAAAAGCAGAAACGCACAGCTGAACACTGAGCATAATTCTTGGAATCCCATTGCATAAACAGAGGAGTGATGAGCAAAGGGATCAAGATCAGGCTGAAGAAACACACAGAAACATCTTACCTGAACAAGGAGGAGTTCAGGCCTCCAGACTGAGAGCTGGGGGAAAAAAAGGGTAGGATTGACCCAGATCCCCCTTAACATGAGTGTCAGTTAGGAGGACTGGGCAATCTATGGGGCCTCTAGTAGTGGATCAGTACTTATCCCTAGTATATGCATGGACTTTGGGAACCCATTCCACATAGAGGGACATTCTCTCAGCCTAGACACATGGGGGAGAGGGAGAGCCTAGGCCCTGCTCCAAATGATATGACAGACTTTAAAGATCCCCCATTGGAGGCCTCATCCTCCCTGGGGAGCAGAAAGGGAATGGGATGTGGGTTTGGGGGGCAAGGGAGAATGGGAGGGAGAGGGAACTGGGATTAGCATGTAAAACAAGCTTGTTTCTAATTACGACTTTTAAAAAGAGGAAAAAAATGTAATCCAAAGGGGGGGCAAGAAAGAAAATAAAGATAGTTCAATAACTTGATTAAGCAATCTAAAAAGTCATGTCAATAAACACACATATTTATGCACACAAAAATGCATGCTTACTTCTTACTGTTTCTGCTTGCTGTTTTCTCTGCCTGACCCAGAGGCAGCCACCATCCCCAACTGCTTCCTCAGTGCTGAGTTTGGTATCTGGGCCATCCTATACTGATTCCCGGGGGCTGCTCTCCTTACACAGGACTACATTTCTATAGGTAAATGTACCTTCTTTAATATTTGCAGGCCCTCACACACTTTTAGTTTATTAGGACTGATATTCTACAAATGTCCACCTTACATGCAAAGATAGAGGAACTGCAGCGCATCCTTGGAGGGTTCTCAACAGACTTCTAGAATCAAGTTCTTCCTTAACTTGTGATCCAGGTAGGTGTGATCTATCAACCATTGAATCTCACTTTAAAATAGGGCATCACCATAGCAGAATGCAGGTCACTCTTGCTTACCTGTATTTTTGTGAGCGTTCCTGAAAAGCCATCTCCATTCCCAAATTCTACTAAAATTAACTGGTTACCACCGAGTCTCAGCTCAACTTCATTGAACACTCAATCATGATCCCTTCACCTCTTTGTTTGCTTTATAATTTTTATTGTAAAAATAACTTGCAAATAAATAAAAGCATCACACATCAAGGTTAACCAGACCCAATATCTGTGTAACTCAACGAACGTCTACAAATTTAGAATAGGCACTGAGAATGGAAGCTGGAGCTGTTGGACTTGACTCCAGGGACCAAATCTGAACTGAGATTGTGAAGCAGCAGACCAGCTAGTGGCAATCATTTACAAAGCATTAGTTGTCATAGCTGCTGCACCTACTGAGCTATGCATGCAGTTGTTACTGTTAATACATTGGTTGGTTTCATCTTTGACCCCACTATAATGTCAATGGTTCATTTCTGCTCAGTTTTTAGACCTGGTCCCCTTTCATATCAGGCCAAGACAGAAGACTGGAATGCAATAGGATACTCCAAGAAGAGAAGTTTTGTTGCACAGTGCTATAATTTTGCTAGTATTAGTTTGTTATTAATCCCTTATTATGCCTCTCATAAGGATAATTAAGTTTATAAATTTAGCTTTATCGTGGATAAGTGAATATTAAAAGACATAAATCCTTCCATTACCTGGGTTTTACACATGCACTATGGCCCTGTGCTACAATGGTTAAATAAGGGATATTATATAACTGTATATATAGATAATAAGTATATTAGTTATATAGAGTGCCATTGAAAATTCTAAATACTAAGCATCCCATTAGCACATAATAAAGAACAAATTAAGTATTCTGTGTGGACCCAAAGTCATAAGCCCAGCTTTTATTATTTTTTTAAATCCTTTTAAATATTTGTTTTGTGTGTATGAATGATATCTCTGTTGGTATTGTATAAAACCTACAGAGGTCAGAAAAGGTCATCAGGTGCCCCCAAACTACACTGCTTGGATACTGGGAAAGAAATCCAGTACTCTTAACAGCCCAGCCATTCCATCAAGCCCAATTTATTATTTGTAACTATTCAACATTCAATTTCAAGTTAACATGATGAAAACAGAGAGTGATCCTTCCAAGTATGGCTAACATAAACAACTGAAAAAATTTCATCAGTGCAACTGTGGAGAGTCACCAAGAGGCAGTTTCTCAAAATAGTTAAAAATGTTCCAGTAGCCAGGGAAGAAAAAGAATTCAGCAGTCTTCAATTAAGGGTGCTGGTCCACTTTCCAAAAACTGAAATGCCTGTCTCTAATTGCTTTTTCCGTAGAGCTGGAAGCTGCAGTGGAAGAAGCTAGAGCCCACTGTTCTTTCCCAGCAGGCCATTACCCTAAAGTTTGCAGGAGAGATCGAGTCCTTCCATATGGGTGGAGGATCAGTTTTCTACTGCATTGTGGATCTGATTACAAGTAAACCCCAAACAGAGAATTTACCAATGGCTTGGAAATCTCATAAAACTAAGAAGTAACCTTAAAATTATGATAAATGGGAACATTATGAAAATCTATCAGCTATTCCATTTTTCTTATGTGTGTGTGTGTGTGTGTGTGTGTGTAGCAATTTCAGATACCAAAACAGGCATACTGTTTCTTTTTATACATATATGCTGTGAGAAAGACTCATTTATAAACTTTGTTGTTAATTCATGAGACACAATATGTGCTTAACAGTAATTGATAAAAATTAGCACAATTATAATGCTCTGTAATAAGACCTAATTCTCTCAGAGTACCTGGGCAATGAAAGAAAGGGAGGTTAGTGACATTGAATTAAGGTTAATCACATGATCCTTCAGGAGGAGAGACTGTAGTAATGGAACTGCTGGACACTGGAGCAGACCACACACAGCAATGTAAATTGATTTGTCATTAAGTCCACTCATTGGCATCAGTTTATTCTGCTTCAAAATCATTTTCTTTTTTGGTTTTTCAAGATAGTGATTTCTCTATGTAACAGCTCTGGCTGTCCTGGAACTCTCTCTGTAGACCAAATTGGCCTCAAACTCATAGAGATCCCCTGATCTCTGTCCCCAAATGTTGGGATTAAAGATGTCTGCCATCATCACCCAGATAAAATTACATTTTCAGCTGAGTTTCCAGCGCTTGAAGAGGAGGCTCCACAAACAAGAGTACATACTGCTCTTGCAGAAGATGGGGGTCCAGTTTATAACAGCTGGCAACTGATACCACCTATAACTCTAGTTCCAGTGGATTCAATATCTCTGGCCTCTGAGAACTGATGCACACCCTTGTACTTGCTAGACACAGTGACCTACAAATAATAAAAATAAAATAGTAAGTGTAAAAAATATAAGTTCCCAAAACTCATGTCTAAGATATACATTATGTATGCATACATGAAAAAAACACAAACTCTGTAGTACATAAGTATATATATATTTATATATATACTTATATATATATAATTTACCTCTTTCCATATATATATACTGTATATATATTTATATATACATATATAAATATATATATAATTTACCTCTTTCCATATATATATATATATATACTATATATATATTTATATATATATAAATATATATAATTTACCTCCTTCCATATATATACTGTGTAAGTATATACACCCATAAATATGGTGGTAGATAATGAGTTTCTTCTATTTTATCTTTATGAATTTTCAGTTGAAACAGGTAGTAGCCATTTATACAAACAAATCAAAGTAAAGGAAGCTTTTATTTCCTTTCCAACATGCGTATACTGATTATTTTAAGTACAATTTATAGAAGTTATGATTATAATTTTATTATTTATACTGATTTGTTCCTATTAAGAAAATATAATAATATAATAGTAAATAAAACGAAAATAAGTAAGTCTCACACCAACAATGCTTATGATACTGCATGATGCATGCAAGTCTGCCTTATGATGGAAAGCAACAGTATGCTGTGGGCTAAGAGGCAAACTGAGAACTATGTAAAGAAAGGAAAACAATCCCTTTGGTCCTTAGGTGTAGCAGACTAGAAAGAAATAGGGAAGATGCCTAAAAGTACCTTGTATTTCAGACAGACAGAAAATCAGAAGGGCTAAGGCAACTTGTGATGAAGATGGCCCTCATAGTATGATCCTGCCCACCACAGGAAATGGCAAGTTGGGTAAACAGTGGAGGAAATAAAGACTGGCCATGCAGAAGCTGTGCACCTTGAAGAACTATTGATGTAGGAGGGAAAACTGCATTCTTCCCAGGAGGACATAAGCCTTCGAACTGAGCCCTGCTACAGCTCGTGAATCCACTATCCACCAGTAACCACATTCATACAATAGTACCTTTGTTCTTAGGTCCTAATTTTAGTTATTTGATGGAAGTTCTGTGCTGTCCTGTGATGAACAATCATATGGGAGATTAGCAATCCTATTTATGACCATGAGTTATAGTTTAGCTTTTTGAACATTGGTACAAGAAGAAATAGCTAATTTTATTTATACACATCAGTTTGTCCTTTAGCTGTGCAGTGAGTTAAAGACCCTCCCAATCCTTCAAATCTATCCTACCAAACCCTGAGATGTTATTCCGGCTGACTTTTAACTTAACAGTGGCAAGTAATTTTAAGATAATTATTAAAATGCTAAAATTCATCAGTGTGAATTTTAAGATGTCACTTTGATAATCTGTATCAATTTATAAACTATAGTACCTATAATCTCTAACTCACTTTAGTAAACCTCTACAGTCCTGAATTTTTTCTTATTCTATCTCCTATCCTGCCTCTCTCTCTGTGTGTGTGTGTGTGTGTGTGATCTGTTAGTGAGAGACAGAGCAGCTTCTTTATTTATTTCTATGGTATATTTGGACTCAAATAAGTGAATGGTGTCATTTATAACTAATCATAAAAGAACCAGAGTATTAGCCTCAAATGTTCACGCTAGTTTGAAATTTTATTTCACATATCCAGGTACCTCCTTCTCTCACTGTTTGAATATTTTTATATAATAAACAAATGAATGCATTCTGGTTACAAAGTGGTATTCTGCTCAGCATTCACTTAGGTGGCCAAATTTAAGTCTCAAACTTGATTGTGATTTCCTTGATTGCAGATCTAACGTTCATGGTTAAACCACAGGTGTGATTGCCACTAGAACAGTTGCTAATGATTACCTTTATGACATTGGATTATACTTTAGGCTGTGTTTTGAGGCATGTTTCAAGTTTTCACATGGTTACGTGGGCTGTTTATCACAGTAAGAGAACTCCTAGAATTAAATGGGAAATATCATGGTTATTCAGAAAATTGTCCTTCATGTAATAGCTACTCTAATCTTTGCTATCTCATTCCTGGCAAAGTGATTTACTTTTTGGTCTCATTTTTTTCTTTATTCCAAGCTTTGAAACTGTGCTATAATGTCAACATTTGGTGTTACAAGTTTCTATGTCTTGGTTTAGTTTAATTGTCAAGATGTGTAATTTTATTGCTGTGTTATACTTCATTATCTATTTAAGTGTGTTGAGTCATTTTTTTTCTCATATCTTTCTTATGTGGGTCAAATTTTAAATGTTTCAGAATTTTTCATGACAATCTGTTTTAAATTTCTAATTAAATTATATTGTAGTTAGAGACCACACTTTTTCTGATTAAATGCTTTTGTTTTTTCCTATTCCCTAGTCTAGCAGATTTTTGGAAATTATCACAAATGTTAAAAGAATTACATAATTCTCATTGCTAAGTAATGCATTTTATTAGTGTCACCCAGACCAGGTTGGTTGTGGGAGCTGGGCAGAGGTTCTAAGTACCTGCTGAAATTCACTCTGCTTGTTCATTTACTCATTGAGTGTTAAAATATTGATTCCATTGCATTGTTTGTCTTTCTGCCATTTGCATGCTTGATTTTTGCTCAATACTTTACTTAGGAGTTATTATATAATCAGGAAATTAATCTTTGAAAACTGTTTTAGTACCATTATTTTCCTCGGTGGTTTCCTCTGAAATTCACTACATTGCTGGGGGATGTCCTTCTATGTGCTGTGAATATATGTTTCTCCTCTTTGTTGGTGAATAAAGCTATCTCAGCTAACGGACAGGCAGGATGTAAACTGGCAGGACACCTGAGTGGGAGAATTCCGGGGAGAGGCATGCAGACAGTGTGTTGCCAGGGAGGCGGTGCCATATAGCTGCCAGGAAAGAAAGGGGCTCTGGCCTCAGTGGTCAGCCAAGACAGTGTAGAGAAAGATACAGGACCCGACTGGACAGATCTTCAATCTACATGTGGCTCTCAAACATTTGGGAAGAATTTCCACATAAAACCTGACAAAAGCTTTAAAAGGATTCTAAACACAAAAGAACAGAGGCAAGCATGACTTCAGGGTATCTGCACTTTCTCAGGTGTGCACTGTTTGCTAGAGACAAGCGGAACTAGGCTTCCTAACTCAGCTTTAGTGGCTCTTTTTAAAAGCCCTGCTATGAAACAATTAAATGGTGTTTACAAGTAGCTGGTGGCATTTTTCTTGGTGGAGACAAAGACCTAGAAACTCCACAGTTACGGCAATAAGCATGACTTCCGCCATGAAGCTATACACTTAGAAAGCAAAAGAATAGGACCGGGCCAGCCACCACTTTAATTTTAGCCATGCTGTTTAGCAGATTAAAGACTCCTGTGGTCAGAAAAAGATAGAGATTCATTGGAACAAAACCTCTAAACAGTATACAGCATGTTTAAAAATATAAATAGGATTGGAAGAGAAGATAAAAAGGATGAAGTCCTTTAAAAAGAAATAGAATAGCTGGATGTAGTGGCAGAGGCCTCTAATCCTACCACTCCAGAGGGAGAGGCTGAGGCAGAGGCATTGCTCTGATTTCAAAGCCAGCCTGGTTTACAAAGTGAATTTCAGAACAGCCAAAATTACACAGAGAAACCCTGACTCAAAATAATAAAAAAATGAAATTAAAAAAAAACAAAATTAAGTAAAAGAAATAAAGTAATTTAACAGAAACTACATAAAAATGGAAAATAAACAGAGAGTCTGGATACTATATGTTATTGTGTTGTCTTTGAAATGTTTGATTGCTAAGCAGGGAGCAACAGCTACTAAAAGACATTTGATTATAAATGCTGCTGTATTAATCCAAACTATATATTTTGAAAATGCCTTAAATTAAAATTTTAAGTCTAAGGACTTTAGGAAAGTGGTTATGCTTTGTTTCCACAGAAGATGAAATGGTGTGGATTCCTTCTACACTTATATGGTTTGATCAAACAATATCCCCTTAAGCATTGGTCCAGACGATACAACATCCAAAACCCCGAGATGATGCAGCCTCACAAACCACTCCAGCCAAGATTTGGCAGTACTTCTGGTTTTCTCAGGATCCCCTTGGGGTTGACAGCTCCTCAAAACAACAGGAAGCAGTTTGGAGAGAACTATACCAACATTCATAAATACTGTTGACAAATGCTTTTTTTCATTTAAACAAGATTGGTTGTAAATGATTAAGGATCATAGTCAATCTCTTTTTAAAGGACAAAAGGAATAAAATATAGAAAAGAATAATTATCATTGGTATGGATTTTGGCTTATTGATATAAATTTAAGGTCAATTTTCCTATATGTATATTTCTACTCTTGTTTAAGTTTTTTGTTTATAAAGGTCTTTTAAAAATTGTAATTCATAATTAAATACATATTATAGATAGTTACCTATAAGAATGAAAATTTATAGTCATGTTAGGTTTTCTAGATATACAGAGACATATTTCAAATGGATAGGCATTCTTCAAACCTACTCAAATACCTACAGAATATGGCATTTAGAATGCTCCTGGGAACATCACTTATGTCAGAGAGGGTAATGGGCATCAAAGACACTCATTATGGAGTTTGTCTTCAATGTGGCAGAAATAGCCATTTGTATAAGAAATTGGTCTGGCCTGGAATGCTTGACAGCACGCTGTCCACACTGGAGAAGCAGCTTACAAAGAAAAGTAACTGCTGAACTTGACAAGAGACAGGATGGTCCTTCAAGGCTCTTAATTCACAGAAAAGTTTGCCAGAATCTCTGGGCCTATAGGCTGAAGAGGAATGTGCTAATGTTAGGCAGGAACTTTTGTGACTGTCTCTGTCACTCCTAGAGTTTATATATTATATATTATCCTTCTGAGGCCTTTGATGGAGCTAACGACAGATAGCTATGGCTATAGCTTAATTTAGTTATGATAAAAGTGTAAGTTACATATAAAAGTTTAGACTCAAAAATATAGGCTAGGTGATAGACTAGTTTCTTTATAATTTGCCAAATATTATCAGACTAATATTGTTCCCTATAGTTTTTGCTCGATAAATGTTTTTTGATATGATTTTACTATGTTAAAGTTAAATCTTCCTTTTTATTTAGACAGAAAAGAGATGATGGTGTTGATGATGTCCTTCTGAATGATGTGAATATAAGAAGCCTGAGCTATCAGCCAAAGAGGTTATAACAATATAAGCCTGTGTATATTTATGGGGACTGAAGAGTGGCAGGACCAGGATGGACAGAAGCTTCTAACAACACTACATTTCGTGTGTATGTCATATAACTGCTCAGTCTTTCTGTACTGCAGCACATTTCACCTTCACCTTTCAGATTTTACATATATCTGGTACATATCCACAATGTGGTAGAGGTTGTTTGTCTTTTGGTTTTTTGTTTGTTTGTTTGTTTTTGCTTTGTTTTTTGTTTTGTTTTGTTTTTGTTTTTGTGGTTTTGTTTTAGTTGTTGTTGAGAAAATAATTTGATATTTCTTTCTAAAATAAATAATCTGCCTGTATCATATCAATTATATTAATGTTATTAGCATGGCTATGATGCTATATATCACCATGCAATTTGACTTACACTTATCCCAACTTACATACCACTTTACATTTTATGTACTTCTTTTAGTAGTAAATGAAGTCTTTATTTATTTTTTTAATATTTTGGCATACTAGGAAAATAATTTTCTCACTTGATTAAGTAACTGTTACTGGTTATTGTATGTCTCTTCAACGCAATCTTAAAGACTAATATTTGGTCATTTTTAATAATTTTTAAAGAGGATGAAAAATCTGTCCCCATTAGTCCACACTTATAAATTCGAAGACACATGACTCTGCTTAAGATGAATAGAGAAATACATATACGTTTACTTATGTCAATAGTTCAGACAACATGCATTAATCAATTTGCAAAGTCAATTTTAAGTTTAGCATTTTAGGAACATTCACAGTTAAGTCCAATATAAAAATCATAACCATGATTTTCCTATTCAGAATTTTAGGAAATAGTCAGATTTAACAAGGCCAATATACTGTGACATTTCACCTTCTACCCTATAGTCCTCCAACGTCACTTGTACCTGATGCTTTGGTTCTATTTAAAGTCTGTCTTTATGTTATATTGTGAAAACTAAAATATTTTCTAAATATTAGCTAAAATAATTTTATCTTTACTCATTTATTACTTATTTGAATTTCTTTTCATGGTCATTTCATGTGAACCAAATGTGTGTATACATGTGTGCATATGAAACCACACGCATGTATTGTACATAGATGTACACACAGACATATACCTGTAAATGTAACTGCTCTAAGTAGCTCTGTTGAGACAGTGTTCCCACACATCAAGCCCACTGAAAGGCATCAGGAAATGTTCACATAATGAAGTGCTGAATTCTCTATAACATGAAAAAATAAAATACCCAGAGACAAATATTGGGGTGCAATCTGAAGATCAGGGAAGGAAAGCAGCCAAGCTACCAGGGGGCTCTCCCCTCTAAAAGGGCTGGGGCATTCCTAGTCTCTGCATAGTGGGAGAATAATGCCTGATACTGAGATTTTGCTCCTGTCTTACATACCTCCCTAACACTGGGATTAATGGTGTGTGCTCCCAGGTACTGAGATCATCTTTGTGTGAGCTGTTTCTTTTTGGGACTGGATCAATATTGTAGAGATCTGGGTGGCCTTGTCTTGATCCTGAATTACTGGATTGCAGGTGTGTACCACCACCTCCTAGCTCCTGGTTGCTGGGATTAAAGGTGTGTGCCTGGGTTCTATAGCTTGTGGCTGACTTTGTTTTCTGAATCCTCAGGCAAGATTTAATAAATCGTAAATAATATATCACTACAACCCTCCCAATTCCTGAAATGACAGAAAGGACATATGTTTTGTGACACAGCATTTTATTTATTGATATTACTGATTTCAGTCTGCTAGAAATGTGTCATAACTGGAATAGCTGGAAAGGATGAAGATTGAAAAACACTGGGGTAGCCCTCAACGTTGTCTTAAAATCTACCAAAAATTGATTTCATAAATATCATTCATATCCAATGCTACCACAAGCATTTCAGGTTTTTTTCATGACTGTTGCCATAATCAAGAACTTCCTCTCTTACATAATTGTTAAAGCTCAGAATAGTACCTATAGCTTCCCAACAGATAAGCATAAGGACTTTTATTTTTTATCTTTTGCTCATACACATCATGTTTAATTAATAACTATTCAACAAATCACAAAACTACTTATATTTCCAATCATCATCTATTTGGAGTTTCTGTAATATTCTTATCATTACTGTAATTTTTAAACATTCCTTCTCTAATACCCACCCCATTCTTTACACATCTCCTTTGTCCATCTTAGCACTGTTATCTATTTCTATAAAATAAAACATACTTTTCAAAACACCCAGAACATGGCCAGAAGTTCTTGACCAGAGTCGCCATGGTTTCCTGATTCAACAGTGCTTGAACGGAACCCGGCGCTTGACCCCTTCGACCCTAGCCAGCCACTCCGGGACAGAACGCTTTGCAACCTCTTTGCTCAGCCGCTCCAGCGTGGCCACCGTGCCCGCTGTCGCCATGATGAGCACTGCCCTGACCACCGCATCTCCCTCGCAAGTGCGCCAGAACTACCACCAGGACTCGGAGGCTGCCATCAACCGCCATATCAACCTGGAACTGTATGCCTCCTATGTCTATCTGTCTATGTCTTGCTACTTCGACCGGGATGATGTGGCTCTGAAGAACTTTGCCAAATACTTTCTCCACCAGTCTCTTGAGGAGAGGGAACACGCTGAGAAACTGATGAAGCTGCAGAACCCACGAGGCCGCGGAATCTTCCTGCAGGACATCAAGAAACCAGACCGTGATGATTGGGAGATCGGGCTGAACGCAATGGAGTGTACACTGCACTTGGAAAAGAGTGTGAATCAGTCACTACTGGAACTGCACAAACTGGCTACTGACAAAAATGACCCCCCCCTTGTGTAACTTCATTGAGACACATTACCTGAATGAGCAGGTGAAGTCCATCAAAGAACTGGGTGACCATGTGACCAACTTGTGCAAGATGGGAGCCCCTGAATCTGTCATGGCAGAATATCTCTTTGACAAGCACACCCTGGGACACAGTGAGAGCTAAGCTGACTTCCCTCACTGGTCCATGAGGCAGTGCTTGCATGTTGGGCTGCCATTACCTTTCCTATAAGTCTCGCACCAAAGCATCTGCTTAAGTTCTTTAATTTGTACCATTTCTTCAAATAAAGAATTTTGGTACCCCCCCCCAAAAAAAAAACACCCAGAACACTCCAGATGCAAGAACACTTAGTGGTAGTTACTGTTGGGGAAGATGGACATGAACACATATTTCATAACTTTGGAATAAACCCCATGGGGACATGTCAACATGTCTGAATAAATTAGACAATGTATGAAAAGATTTGTTTCAAACTGTAAATTTAATGAGTTATTAATGTAGTTAAATTGTTTAGAGCTCTCAAATTGCTTTATTATCACTTTGTGTTTTATCTTAAGCTGTACGCATCCCAGCTAATTTGTGCAATATACAATTCCTTATATATTTGTCACCTGTCCCCCAAACTACATATGTCACTAAATTCTTGCCTTTTCCTGGAAACGTGTGCAATTTATATACTATCTTACGGCTATTTTATATGCTGTCTTTGTTTAGTGTCTCAAGGGAAGTTAATTGAGAACCTTAAATATTCTGGTTCATGTTTATAGAACTTACATCATTCCTCAGCATAGCAGCATACTTCGATATTATCACTTGTTCAATTTCAACAATTTATGATATTAGAATAAGACCATCATTGAACACTTATTTCCTCCATAAAGATGTATCTTCTATACCCACATCACTGCCTAGAATGCAAAGTACCCTTGATTCACAAAGTAATGGACAGGGTTTTTGATACAAGGGAGGCAAAACTAAATCAATGCAATGGATACCAGAAGTAATTAGAAAGAGTAAACATCCTTGCCTGAAATACAGAAGTTCTGGAAAGAAGTTCTTGAGCAAATTTCAAAATCAAAAAGTTCTATATACTTTAGAAATTATGACAAAATATAAAAGCCAACAGAGGCATTTAGACAGGAAGCATAGTAAGTCTGTACTTACTATGCTGTGAAGCATTCAGGAGTTCATTTGTGTATGCACAAAACAGTTATGCATAATTAATATCAACTTGTCTTGAGAAGTAACCCAGAAAATGTATAAGAATATCATTCTTGCCTAGAATTAAATGATTTTTGTCAGGGTACACTTTCAAAATTTCTCTCTTCATAATTGATAGACAACAAGCCACCCCACTTCTGGATGAAGGGAAAATAGCATTAAGAAAAGAACCTAGTACGAATTCTACATGAAATATAGGAAAGATTTTATATGGGCTTTGGAAGGGATTTCCTCTTCCTTCTACGAGGCTGAGCTCTTATTAGCAGGGCTAATAAACATGATTCTCAAACTATTTGAAGTGTGATTAATCCCATATAGCATTGTACAGATGATCTGAAAGGAGAAATTTCTCTAGTGATTTAACTTTCTCTTAGACAAGCAATTTTTAGGAAAACAATTATCTTAATTAACTCAAATAATGGCTTCTCAATGCCAGGACCCACGTCTGGAGCTAGCCCTTAGAGCATAGATACCAGCACTGTATGTCAGTGCAGAAGCTCCCACAGCAGACAGGGCACAAAGCTATATATGGTTACTTTTAGGAGACTCTCAGCAAGATGGTCCAAGAGTGTTAACATCTGTTCTTTAGGCTGAAATTTATATAATATGCATAAGTCAAAAGCAGCTTCTATGAATCCTCTTAATGGAGTGCACAACTGAGCATTCCTACCTTTATAGAAATTAAACAACTGTGGAAAGTCTCCTGATAAACTTTTCTAAGTGGTAAAAACTAGTGGCTTCCTTAGAATTACTCATTTGGATAAAAAATTAGTACTTCAGATTGTGACAATGATACAACACACATCTATATGCAAATAAGCAGGGAAACATTTAAGATTGTCACCTAGAACAGAAATAAAAATTATACACGACACTTACAGACCTGTAAGTTTACATATATAAAATGTGTAAGTTTATAAAAATTCAAAATAAATAACAAAAATCATAATTTCCGATTAACTGAGAATAATGTTCACAATCTCTGTAGTGCATACTTCAAGGCAGAAAAAGTTTATTTGTTTAAAGTGCTATTTACTTGGCAATCTTTGAGCTTCGGGAATTTCACTATAAGTTATTAAAGTGCATTTATGACTAATATCTCAAGGACCCTAGGTCATGGGCTGTCCTTTCCATTTAATGAAATTGTGGTGCCTTCATCATTAAGTTTTCTTATATATGTTAGTGCCTATTAAATGCAAGGACTACAATAGGGGGTTATGTTATTTGAATTAAAGAATAAATAGCTAAGGACACCACAAATTTATTCTCACCTTTATATTGCCAATACCCTGCATTCCTGTCTTACACCATTTTTCCTTTCGGAGAATGTTCTTGTCTTTGATTGTTGTAAATACCATTGTGGTGAAGTCTTTTCCTAATCCCAGCATAGAAACTGGCAAAAAATTCCCAAAAATTAAAATTGCTGAAGAGCATAGAACGCAGTCTTCCAAGTATGCCACATAAGAATATATGGAATGGTTCATAAAACACTATACACGACAAACTAAGCATGATTGACAAGGAAGTTTGACTTTACTTTAGATGAGGAGCAGAAGAAAGAAAATTAAACACAAGAAAAAAATGACAATATGGGGCTAAGAGGTGGCTCAGTGTTTAAAACTTTGCTGCTCTTGCAGAAAACCTGGAGTAAAGTTCTGGGACCTGCATCTAACTGATAACACCTGGCACTATCTCTAGCTCCAGGAATTCCAGCACCTTTTCTGCCTCTGTCATGGACACGCATGATGCACACAGCAACAATCAGGCACACAGGTGTACACATATGTAAAGATAAATATAAAAGACAAGAGAGTGTTTAAACTCTATTGAGTATCTGTTCAGTAATCCTGGAGAAATATTTTCTATTGTGGTGCTGAAGACAAAAGCTATGGCCTTGTTAATCAGCTATGAAGTCATGTATCTAGTGAAATGCTGTGTATGCATAAAATGGGAAAAGAAACGTGAATGTATGACTTTTCAGCATAATAAGGACTTTGCAATCTTACAAAGAAAGTGATATCAGAAGAGTGTGGGAAGGTAACAACATTGGTAAGTAGAACCATATGCAGTATGCTGGAGCCAACGGGAGTAGTTAAAATGACCAGAAGTTCAGTGATGAGGAGAGGCAGGTGAAGAGAGCTGAGTGACCACACACAGTGCCTGTGACAGATAAAGTCAGAGTTGCCAAACGGAGAGTCTGGACAGAAATTTCATACTGTTCTACTGTTTGTCCTCTGGACTTCAAACATTTAGTGTCCAAATGTGTGGCACTGAGTCCATCACCACTTGCTTTTATTGAAATCTCTGGATCAGGAAGTAGGTGAAGGAAAAAATGAAATAAAACATTAAACAAAAATAAGGATAGCCTTTGCCAACTGAACAGGGTGATTTTGTTTGAGTTTACACTGAGATTTGCACTACTATTATCTCCTTCATCTCGCACCTTTAATCTTAATATCAACATGATTTGCAGACCCTCTGTAGTATTGTTTGTCCCCCTTAATAATTAAGCTCCTTCATGTTAGGATTTAGTTTTAAAATGAGCCCAAATTCCCTTCAATAAGACAACACATCAGCAAAACATTATAAATAATGACATTATAATATGTTTGAACTTTTGCTAAGAAAATGCTGTTGTGGAACTTTGTTATAAAGAAAGAAAACACCATGGGGCAAACTCTGTGGACTGCCATTAAATCACAAGTAATGGCTGCAGGGAAATATCAGCTTTCTACAAAAGTATTATGAGAGTTATGAAAATAACTTGATAGATATCACTCTTCAAATAAAACTCTTTCCTGTGATTTATGATCTTAGAACTTCAGAGGTAAACTGTGCATGTATAGTATGCTTTATGTCAAAAACACATATTACAGATGTGTGTTTTATGATTTATAGGTTACTGCATAGCTGGTTAAGATATATTATAAAGGTCGTGTTGATTAATCTCCCAAGAAATCATAATGCAGTTTCTTAGCAGGTATTTGATATTTCTCGTACAAAAAGCCGTGATGAAAGGAAGTTATTTGGGAAGATGGTGGAATTAATTTGTAATATGGAAACATGATTCCAGCACCTAAACTGGTATCACAACAGAACATCATTACTAAATGAAATATCAAAAACATGACTGACTGTCTCTTGTAGGTGGACCAGTCATTGGATGCCAGCTTCCCCCATGGAGGGGTGAGTGTTTCTAGAGGAGTGACTAAATTAGTTATTGTTCTCATGGCTGTGACCATATACCATAAAGAAGCAATTGGAAGGGGGAAAGGTGGATGTGGTCTCAAGGTGGAGGGAATACACCCTAAAATGTAGGGAATGGTAGGGAACGCACTGTAGTAGGACCATCTCACATCTGTGGTATCAGGCACCAATTATCCTTTTCCTCTGCAGACCATCAAGAACAGAAACAAGTGCATAACTTTAGGGAAAAGATTAAGTAACTGTAAAGTGTCATAATATTAAATGAAAACTGGTATATTAATCAAGATTCTGTAGATAAACAAAACCGATATAATTATCTACATATATCAAAAAGCCATTTATTATAGTGGCTTATAGTGTGGTTCACTAATAACTATCTGCCAATGAAAAGGCAAGGAATCCTGTGGTTATTCCATCTATAAGAGTGGATATCTCAGCTGGTCATTTGATCCCCCCAAAAATTACATTCTACTGCAATAAAGAAATACCTCAGGAATATAATAGAGAAATTGCTGCAGAGAGTGAGTGTGAACAGACAAAGAGCAAAAGCTTCCAGCTTCCAGGTTGTCCTAAGTGTGCTGCCATCAGAGAGGGTGGCCCAATCTCAAATGATTCGGTCACCAATATTCCTGCGTTCCCAGCTGTTTGGATTTTAGTTTATTCGAGATACAGTCAATTTGACAACCAATATCAGCCATCATAACTACTGGTGAGGCTGACATTTTAGCTCAAAGTTAATGACATATTG